TCTACAAATCATGAGTGCAGCAGTATAATCCTCCATTTGCCTGAATGAGTGCAGGCCAAAAATCCTCATGATCCTCGATACCATCAAGGACAAAACAAGCCCACTTGATCGGTAGCAGCCCTCCACCAGCATGCACCAAGTCAGGACTGTACACCATTTACAAGATGCTTGGCAGCAACTTGCCTATAATTCTTCAACAACAACTTTTAAACCTATTTATTCTACTACCTGGAAAAGACAGGCGCAACAGGACACACAGGAACACCACGAGTTCTGAGCAAGAGAGCGAGAGCACATTTCCTCTTTTGGGGAAAAGCATAACTAAATATCAAGGCAAGATAGTCACCAAGAAAGTCAACAAGAAACACAACAAGGAATTTAGAAGAAACTTCTTTACCCAAAGAGTGGTGAGAATGTGGAAATCATTATCAGAGGGAATGATGGAAATGAAGAAAAGTATAGGTGCACTTGAAGGAAACTAGATAAGTATATAGAGCCACAAGGGAAGAGAGGGTTATGATGGCAGATTTAAATCAGACGGGAGGGAACAAGAGAAGCAGAAGTGACAGCATGGACCACCTGGTGCCCTAATTCTGTGGTTACAACATGAGAAACAACCTGTTTAGAGATATTACACAGCTAAGGAGCAGGTGGGACCTGAATCCAGGTCTCCTGGCTCAGAGGTAGGGACACAACCACTCCAACGGCCATGTTGTATGTCCCATGTAATGACCTTCACTTTATCACAAGGCCTTAAATGGAACTACTCACTAATGACTGCACAACATTCAGCTCCCTTTACAAAATAATTACAATAACGACATGGATCATGCCTGCATGAAGCAAGATCTGTACAACTTGCAGACTTGGGCCAAGAGCATACAATATTTCTGCTGCAGAATAGAGTCATAGGGTCTGTTTCTGTGCTGTATGACCCTTCAGCCCAACTTGTCCCTGCTGACTCGTACCCTAAATTGAATTCCAATTGCCTGCGTTTGGCCCATATCTCAACTTTTCCTATTCATGTACTTGTCCTTTTAAATGCCTCTTAAAATGATGTAATTGTACACGCCTCTACCACTTCCTCTGGCAGCTCATTCCATACCCATAACACCACCTGTGGGAAAAAGTTGCCCCTCAGGTCCCTTTTAAATCTTTCCCTTCTCACTTAAAACCTATACCTTCTAGTTTTAGACTCCTCTACCCTTGGAGGAAAAAAAAAGACCTTGCCTATTCACCTTATCTGTGCCCCTTATGATTTTGTGAACTTAAAGTCACTCCCTGGATCCCACGTGATCTAACTCTACTAACAAGTCTACCATGCATGATCTTGTTGAAGGCCTTGCTAGAGTCTACGTGGACAACACCTACCTCATTTATCTCCTTGATAACCTCTTAAAGGAAAAAACCAACCACCTCCAAGAAGAGATCCATCACACATCCTCACCAATGTTTTAGGGGATACATTGACTGTTCAGCGTCTAGCCAAATGTTAGAGATATTAAAGCAAGTCAGAGGCTAGGTATTTCACAGCAGGTGACCCACCAATTACCAAGCTATTTGGAGTGTGATGGAATACTGCCCGTTTGTCTAGATAAGGTAGCTGCTGTAATAGTCATAAAGCTTGACACTATCCAGCAGGTTTTATTTGATTGACATCCCATCCAAACATCCACTTTTTCTAGCACTGGCCTATCAGGGTTGCAAGTTTGCAAGCTTTGAAATTAGTAAAACTGTAAAAAATTCTCTGGCAGCACATTCCAAACTGATTACTTCCACTGCTCATATGGACTTGGGGCAGCAACTCTAACTTGATATCCACATAGGAATAGAGGTAGCCAACTAAGTTGGAAGATTTTAACGTAAGTGGTAAAACTTTAGACTAGTATAGGAATAGGGTAGGTCAGTACAAATAATGGTACAGAAAGCCTTTGTTCTAGTCCCCCATTTCCATAATGTATATGGACCTTTTTATTGCTTGTCCTGAGATAGGATGGGATGGAATAGGATAGGATAGCACAGCAGGGCTACCTGTTGAAATCCTCAAACTATGGCAAGGAGCAGATTAAGCTAACCAGCGGCCACTTAAAGCCATCTGAACAAGGGCAATTAGGATCTTCAACAGTCCATTTTTAAGCTTAAAAAAAAAAGAACTGTGGATGCTGTGAATCAGGAACAAAAACAAAGTTGCTGGAAAAGCTCAGCAGGTCTGGCAGCATCTGTGGAGGAGAAAACAGTTAACGTTTTGGGTCAGGTTCTGAAGAAGGGTCACCGGACCCGAAACGTTAACTCTGCTTCCTCCTCCACAGATGCTGCCAGACCTGCTGAGCTTTTTCAGCAACTTTGTTTTTGTCCATTTTAGCTGCCAGGAGGACACATCCCAGAACCACAGTATGTTGGGCTTTGGGCCAGCACTTCAGCCAAACTTATAATCTCTCCTTGTTTGTCCCAATAAACGATTCCCTTACCCAAAGTGGGCATCCTATGCTGGAAAAGTCACTTTTACTTTTTAAAAAACTTTGAAAAGAAGTTTCTACTTCACTCCCACTTGCCTGCCATGGAAACCTGCTATTGCTGGTCTCAGATAACAGTGTAGAGCTGGATGAACACAGCAGGCCAAGCAGCAAAGGAGAGGAAAGCTGACGTTTCGGGTCGAGACCCAACTAGAATGACTACAGTTGGTGCTGCAGTTTAGAATCCTGCCCATTATTCTTAATTGGATGACAAAGTTCACTGATTGCTCAGGTGAAAATCACATTGGTTCTCTCAACGCAAATCTCTGATCCCTACTGCAGCCTTACGGACGTGCTCAGAACTCACTGTAAATTCTGAAGAACCCATTCAACATGGTACTATCACAATCAACATGACTGCTGCAAATTAAGGCAAAAGCACCTTCTCAGAAGCAACTGAGGAGGGGTCATTAATCAGTTATTTACAAAATTGCCAGAAATGCACATATTCCAAAACTGGATTTTCTTTTTAATTCACTTGTGGAACAAGTGTTGCTGGCTGTCCAGTTATTGATTGTTTCTAGTTGCCCTTGAGAAGCTGATTGGGAGTGATCTTCTGAACCACTGCAGTCCATATGCTGTAGGTAGACCCATAGTGCAATTAGGGAGGGAATTCCAAGATCTTGACCCAGTGACACTGAAGGAAGTGATGTAGTTCCAAGTCAGGACAGTGAGAGTGGGGCTCCCATGTATCTGCTGCCCTTGTCCTTCTCGAAGGAGTCGATTATGGGTTGGGAAGTACGGTCAAAAAATTTTTGGTGAATTTCTGCAGTGTGTGCTATCTACGTGAGCGTGGAGGAGAGATTGAATGTTTGTGGATGTGGTGTCAATCAAGTGGACTGCTTTGTCCTGGATGATATTGAGCTGCACTCATCCAGGCAACTGGGGAGTATTCCATTATATTCCTGATCTGTGCCTTGCTGATGGTGGACAGGCTTTGGGGAGTGGGATGGGGAGGGTGGGTTTACTTACTGCAGTATTCCTAGGGTCCAACCTTCTCTTGTATTCACTGTATTTATATGGTGAGTCCAATTCAGTTCCTGCCAATGGAAAACTCCAGGATGTTGCCGGGTGGTGGGGTGGGGTTGGAATTCAGTGATAGCAAGCTAAGGGTAGCAAAATCAATATGGCTCCTTCTAGCCTACAACAACAATTAAAGCCCTGGCAAAACAGCTGCTTGTTGCTTTTAAGGCTACTTATATGGACTAACTGTGGTCTCAGTAAACCAAATAGGTGGAGCTTTGGCAATATGCATATTATCAAACATTGGTCCTTGGAACAAAGACTCAGTCGTTAGCTAATTTTGTATTCAGCAGTGCAATTAAATTCAAGTTGAAACTCCAAGTTGATATTGCAAAAAAAAACCATGGATGAAGCGAAGTCATATACAACGGCAGTAAGACGTATAAATACGGGTCTTGACACTTTGATCTCAAACACCAAAACATCAAATGTCATGAAAGTTATTATTTTTAGAGCATGTTTTACAGCAATGTGTATGGGGTCAATTCTATTAATCAGTTACAAATTCAACTGGTTTTGTAATTCAGCAGCTTTTCATAAAATTTTGTTCTTGCCTTAATATTGACTAAGCTATCCAGTAAGTATTTAATTGTAAAATGCTATAGCTAAAATGCTGTATATTTCAGATAACAACAAAACATATGCTGTAAACTTCAGATACTAGCTTCATAATTTCTGCAGTGTCTGGACAACAATCACAAGCAGTCATTCTACATACTTACTGTATAAATAAGTCTTTTGCATCTATAACAATTATTGCATAGCCATTCACTTCTAAATCCAAAGGTTTGGACTCATCTTTCACTTGGTAGCACAATAGCACTTGGTAAACTGAGGGTAATGAGAAAACTGTATACCTGTGTCATTAGCAGTTAGGTCATATCAAAAGCATAAACAGATCTATGACTTAATATAGTCATATTTTAAGACAATGGTGTCAGAATGCAAAGGATATGCCATAATACTCAAATCTGATTTCTAGGATGGGAGTATAATTTACAAATACCCTCTTAAAATGACAGATTAAAATCAAACAGACTTAAACCGCTCAAGTTATTAAATTTCACTACAGGAAATAGAAGCAGAAAGAGGGTCTATATTTTCTTTTCACAAATCTACAGTCCACATCTGCTATTCATTTGCATTTCAATAAAGGAACGTTTAAAAACCCAGTTTTGAAACAGCACCCCGCCAGTGCCACTCAAGACTAACATTACTAGAAATGAATGCTTTTTATGTCACCAAAAGAAACTGAAACCTGATGGGAGAAAAAGCAAAGATTTAAAAAAAACCACCAAGTTGGACAGTCTTGATTGAAACGGCTTAATCGGCATTATGAAATCACACATTTGGACGGAATGAGAACCTCCAGGCCCTTGAAAAAGTCAAACAGCCTAATGGCACTCAAGGTTATCTATCAACACATTAAGAAAGAATAGCTGGGTATCCCTATTGAACAGATACCTTATCCGTAGAATTAAACCTCTCAGCACATGGTAACTTCAAAAGGCCAATCAGTCCACACACTTGTTTACATTGTTCACTCCAGCAGTCGTCCAAATCCCATGTTTCCACTTCATTTCCATATCGGTTTGTCCCCTTTCCAGTAATTACCTATTCTAAAAGCCACCAACACAAGTACAGTGCAGGGTCTGTAAAATAAACCCCTGCTTCTCTGAAGAGAACATAATATGCTTTGTAATTTGACTAACAGTAGGTACTAGCCACGACGCTATAAAAGGGAACCAGAATTATATGTCGGCGGAGATTAAAGCAGACAATTCACTTCACGAATGAATACAGTGAACACTCGACTAGGGCAGGCAGAAGGTATATTCTCCCGGCTAACTTTCCTAAAGTGCCACTTTGGAACATTAGCACTGACCTGTCTTCCTAATGGAAGAGGGGAAAAAGAAACAAGTGAAAAGGATAGCGGTAGCTGGATAAACGGTGGGACAACAAAGGTTCTTAGCGGATTAGGACAAAGGTTACAACAGAGTCCATATCACGATCAAAGTCCGTGATGGGAATACGCGGGCAGGCGCAATAGGGGTTGGGTGGGAGAGGACCCCTCCCCGTCCCAGGCGGCTCGCGTCTTGTCCCAGGAAGAGAAACGGCCGTTAACGGTCGCCGCTCGCGGCCCGAACATTCCCAATCCCAGCGGGAATTCGAGCGCCTGACCTGCGCAGCTGGCGCCCGCCCACCCCCCGCTGTGAGGGGAACACGCTACCGCTGCCGCCGCCTCTCCCATCCTCACGAACCGCCGTAAATCCCCGTGGAAGGTGAAAACGTGCTGAATATAGAGAAAGACGACGGGAGGGGCAGGGGGTCAGGGAAACGGGCTCCGACAGAACAGGACAAACAACGCCGGATGGTTATAAGCCTGCACACGGCGGTGAACGCCCCGACAGGACAACATCAACGGTAACGATGTATGCTAAAACTGGGGGGGGGGGGTCGCACCATACTACACCACCACCCGCCAAAAAAAATGAGAATTCTAAATGCCTCCTACCTCAGATTCCGTGGTTGTAATGCTCACTCCCTTTTTTTTCCCCCTAACCTCTGTTGTTCTCTCTACATTTACTCATCGTGTGGAATCGCTCCAGGCTGTTCAACACCGTCCAATCATCGCTCGCAACGTCATTGAATGCGTCATTCGAGACAAGAACCAATGAGCAGCTCCACAAGGTTCAGTAATACCTCAGCAGCGTCATTCAAAAAAAGTTGCAGCAATGCGCGGGTATGTTGCTGGGTAAATTGGATAGCTTATTTTGATGTTTTTTTTGTTAAGAATAATACACAGCAGTAATAAATTTGGTATTGAGCTTTGGTTTGACAGAGCAAGATGTTAAGAGAGATTCGACATTGACCGACAGTGTGTTAAGTCAGCAGACTCAGCTGACAGAGATAGTAGGAACTGCAGATGCTGGAGAATCCGAGACAACAAGGTGCAGGGCTGGATGAACACAGCAGGCCTAGGAGCAGAGAGGATGACGTTTCGGGCCTAGACCCTTCATCAGAAAAGGGGGAGGGGAAGGGGGTTTTGAAATAAATAGGGAGAGAGTGGGACCTCTTCATCTCCAACTGC